AGAACAGCTGGCTGATGACGTCATGTATTCTTACGCCAAGGTCTTCACGTCTATCAAGAAATCACTCCATTTTACATTTTCAGATTACGTATATGCAATTTAATGGAAGCTATGAATATATTTGCATCAATAATAACAGCAAAAGTAAAAGAGTTTGGCTCCTATATTAAATAAATTGGTTGGTAACTAAGGAACTTGATTTGGGGAGGAGTGTTGTGGGCGGAGCTTAGGTTATGACGTCACGGTGGAGGCAACAGGTGGTGGGAGGTGTCAAGCGCCGCCAGAAATAATTCATCGCCGGAATTGACCTGATGATCACCATGTGTCTAGTGGCCACCCCACCACGGGGACAGCAAGCCGGCGACTTGTCAAACGTACACCATTATTCCCGATACCTTTTTTTCCAAATGGATTTTAGAAATACAGTAATGTTTTGGCAATTACGGATTCGCAGGCGAGTAGGCGTGGATCATGTATAACATTTATTGTTTACTGCTCACGCTCAATAATATGAACAATTGGTTTACTGAGACTTATATAGACTATATATATAAATGTAGTAATTTCCCTTGTAAATTGATGTAAATATGATCTTTATATTGTATATTATTTAATACAGAAAAACAAAAGTAGGCGGTTCCAAGGATTTAATTCATTGCGTCTGGGGGACAGGCGACCAGGGTGTATATATACATGTGTATGTATATATGTAATATATATATATATATATATATATATATATATATATATATATATATATATATATACAACTTTAGAACACTTTCCCGCCAGGAGACTCGAACCCTAGCCAGCAGAGAAGCCTTCCAGCAACTGGCATAACAGATACGCCTTAACCCTCTCCACCACCCGCTCAGACCCTTAAAAGAGATGGTAATTTCGGAGTATTTAAATACCCCAAAGATCAACACCTCCCAAGAGCACCAGAGCAAGTGAGGGGTCATTTATACGTTAATTTCATCAAGTCCCTGTTAATATGGGAAGACACAGTGTCTCTGCTTAAGGCACAACTCTCCTAAACACGAGAGTTAAGTATACAGTGTGTACTCACCTAATAGAGGTGTGTGTGTGTGTGTGTGTGTGTGTGTGTGTGTGTGTGTGTGTGTGTGTGTGTGTGTGTGTGTGTGTATATGTATGTATATATATATATATATATATATATATATATATATATATATATATATATATATATATATATATATATATGTGTGTGTGTGTGTGTGTGTGTATGTATAAAAAATTATATCAAGGTAGAACTACTGACCCTCTCCAGGATGCAACCGCACAAGTTAACTAACTCCTGGGTACCTATATATATATATATATACTGCTAAGTGAACAGGGTATTATTGATTAGAAAGGCGTTCAATCATTGTCCCACCCGCGATTCGAACCAGGAATTTCCGATTTGATTCGAGAATGAACCCAACAGTTCTGAAAAACATTTTTTGTCCTACATTGTGGCTTTTTGAGCTTGAAGCTTTTGCTCCTTGGGTGCGTTACATGTCCTTTTAAAGTGTTCTGTATGTTTATCTTCCTAATTGTTTGTATTTTTATTTATTATATATACAAGAGTTCTTACATTCTTGTACAGCCACTAGCACGCACAGCGTTTCGGGCAGGTCCTTAATACTAATTTTCCCCGGAATACAATCTGCCAAATCGTTTCCCATTTTACTGTTGGATGAACAGAGGCTACAGTTTAGGATTGGCGGCCAGGATACGAACCCAGGCCAAAGCGGTAACGAAACGCCAGGCGAGTATCTTAATCACTCCGCCACAGGAACTTTCAGGCTTCTTCCCTAGAACTGGCAGCAAAGTGTAATGTGCACCATAATATACTTATATCGCGAGTGGTAATTTACTGTACATCCCATACTCATCCTGCGAGTGGTAGTTTATTGAGCATCCCATACTTATCCTGCATATGGTAGTATATTGAGCATCCCATACTTATCCTGCATGTGGTAGTTTACCGAACTTCCCATACTCACCCTGTAAGGGACAGTTTGTGCTCTCAATGCTCAGTGATCGGAAGCACAAAAGGATTAGGGGACAAAGAAAGATCTTGATCGTATCCCAATGGTTGCCTGACATCAGCTTTTACAATTGAGCTGCACACCTTATTTAATATAATGATAGCTAGTAATTAACAAACTACACCAATTGTTATGATAATATATTACACACACTGGAGGCAAATCGTATTAGTAATGAGCAGTATTGGATATTACAGAATAACTATCCAAAAAAGGCACCAAGCCGTGGAGGCTATTTAGTAGTTGTCACAGACATCGAACAGGTTCCAACTATCATAAGTGAAGATGAATGTTGTCCAAAGTACGATCCACCAAGGATTTTATCGAGCGACAAATGACATGGATATAATAAGAAAAGTTGTCCGCGTATCCTGTAAATTAAAACATTCTATAAAATCCGAGAGTTAGACAAGGTTGTGACATTAATGAGAGCAGATCCTTGATCCGTTAAGTATACATAAGGTAATCTTGTGTGGCCAATATGTAGAGCCGGGACCGTTTTCCCACTACCTGTTTTGGTGTCGATGGATATTCAAGTAGGCTCTAAATGCCAATACAAGAACAACAACATAGGACGAGCGATATCAACGGTATCTGATTCATCAGATTCTATCGAGGGACAGACGGGAAACGAGACAAACACACCGCGTCCAACAGCCAGGTTGACCAGTCCATTAACCAGGAGACCTGGTCAGAGACCGGGCCGCAGGGACCTTGACCCCCGGAATCACCGCCAGGTAAGGGTCCACTTAAGAGGCAACAGTCAAAGCACGGCATAAGCGAGTGAGGATGTTGCTAGGCTCGTACGAAGTATCAAAGACAGTAACGATCACGACGGTCCTGTAGACAAGATGCTGGTTTCAACACAACTAAACCTCATGCTGCTGGAAGACAGAAGAGTTAGGAGACACATGGTCACCACATACAAAATTCACAGCAAAAGTCTTAGTCGTAGAGAACTTGAAATCATGATTAGTGGCCCAGGACAACACTATCAATCGCAAGTTGAAGTTGGTGATGAAGGACAAGGGAGTTGTCACCATGACAGCAGCGAGATCAACGAAGGCCTGAGAAAATTCCAGAGGAGAGGGACGAAGGAAGATTATTTAAGGCAACTAGGGAAAAAGTAGTTCTCAGAACACTACCTTGTGGCAAACTTTCATATTGTTGGAAAGAACAAAATGGTACCTTGAATTTAAACGACCGACAAGAGAGGAAGCTATGAAGGAAGAGCAGCAGATGGCCACGATGGCCGAAAGATTGTAGCTGGGATAAAATACTGTACCTCCAGGTTGCATCCTAAGTCTTTTCCAGGTAAAAAAGAACGGCAACCACGGAGGTATTAACAATGATGATAGTATGATCTCAACAGTTCATGCCACTGGCAAGAACTGAGGAAGACTGGGGTTCTACCATCAAATATGATCATAACTACTCGAAGGGTTTGACAACAACCACCATGAGGGGATCGAGGAATTTATTCAATCTGGAGGATAGAATAATCTTGGAGCTTGAGGATATATTGAATAGCCTCATGGTGTGGGAGAATGACGATCAATGCTGGCATTTTATTGCATATTTTTGAAAACCCAAAATGAGGTCTTACCAATGCAGAACATAGCAGCTAGGACGCAGCCGTTTCCTGAGAAGGGGCCACAGCAATACATGTGCCAGTACAAATGGGGTTAAAAGCAACATAGGCACCTACAGAGTTAACAAGTACATACGTATGTGTAAATTATCAGGGCAATGCATGCTCATTATGACGTATCAAAATACTTAGGCCACAGTGAGACCAAACAAATCATGATGTAATTATCAAAGAAGGCACGAAGCCAGGAAGCAAGGTTTGAAAGAATCATGTGGGTTCAAGTGGGGTGATGGCACCTCGATTCCCCATTTCAAACGTGGTAAAAGACATAGTTGTCGTAAGAATCAAAGAAGGCACCAACATAGTTGTCGTAACAAAAGCTGGAACTGTTCCAAGTGCCAAGAACAGGATACCTGATCAACCAGGCTGTGAGCAGCCAAGTTACCAGTCCAGCAACCAGGGAAAAATTGAGGCTCAACCCTGCCAAGGAAATCATTGGGGAATGGAGAGGATCAACAGACTGAACCACAGTTCAAACCTGGTCTGGGCCAAATATAGTTCGATCTTCCATTAGTCAAACTCTAGTGCCTGGTTACACGCTTCACGAGTCCAAGTTTGGGAAGCAAGTTTGTTTATGAAATGCATATGGTGTATTAAAGTTTGGGCCCTGGAGCCAAGGGATACCGCCTTCCTAGGCCAAGCGCTGCCCAGCAAGAGAATGCATCATCCCAAATCATTTTTCCATACCATCTTTTCAATATGGAAATTTTACGGCATCATTCTCCAACTCCAGTGCAAACACGTCTTGATTCCTCTTACCCCAGCCATCACACCTACCTACTCGAGAGCAGCCCCCTCATGAGCAACCCGTCAGGTGGTCTGACGACCTGAACTGGCACCCTATGTGGTCTTTGCACGTACAACTCTAGAAGAGGCAACTGCTTACTGGCCTCAGGGAGTCATACACGAGCCTCCCCCTCAGAAGGTGAAACCCTTGAAGGGGTAATATATAGCACACACATTTAAATATAAACAAGTAACATTTACATTATGATTAAGGGGCACAGGAGTATCATACTTAATGGCCAATCCTTGTGTGTACGTCTTTTCATTATGGTTCCTCATTCAATTTTCTTAATATGAAAACTGCCGATATCACCTAACCCCTTTCAGTATCTTGTAATCATTTCCTCTGATACTTCCCACCTAGTTAGATCGAGCTCAAAAAGTGTTACAGCTTAGATCCTTTAACTTTGGCACTAGTCTTACTCTGAATCCAGCTAATCTTTACCTTGCAAATCTCACTTGTACAAGTCTACTACCGTTTGTATTTATGAAAATTTAAAATCTCCTTTATATAATGGGCAAACCTTTAATGTGCAAAAAAATGTAAACTCTTAAGGGATAGTCACTTATTAATCAACTAACTAATGGACATGTCTAATTCTCCTGCGGAGGTTTACACTTACAAACATCCATATAGAGAAAAACCATCAGCACCCTATAAATGGTTCTAACAGAACTTAACATTTCATTGCTATTACACAATTTGTATATACTTCCAAATACATACTTATAATGGCATTCTTTTAGATTTAAACAAAAAATAAAAGATAAAGTCATACAGAACAATGACCCTCTTCGTGTCATGAGAAAAGCGGTTAAAGTGAGTCAAGCAATAAATACCTCCATGAGACAAGGCAAGTTGCAACACCAATATCTAACACACAAGTCTCAACCGAAATGACTACCAATTGAACTATATTACAATTTTACATACATTATGTAACTTAAAAAGACCTTCGTAAAATGCTGAAATAGCATACAATACCTACCTCGTACTGTACATAACTCAATTTATATATATATATATAATTTGAATGTAGTTTTGTGCACCTCATGTCCTATGACATGCTAAGTGGAAAGAAATCATAAATAAAAGCTACTGATAAAACCTGCAACAGCTATTTCAGCATTCCTCAAAGTTATCTTTCATCAGCAGCTTTTACTCAAATGATGCCTTGTACAATAAGGTATCCCCAATGCTAAAGGGATATCTAAAGGAAACTCTGCACTGTGTACAAGAACTGGAACAAGCACCTGACATTGCATGACCAGAAAAATAACCTTGTGCACTTGGCTTCCTCTAGGTTATTTGTGAACATTTGCAAGTTTAATAAACATTGCTTCCTCTAGGTTATTTGTGAACATTTGCAAGTTTAGTAAACACTTATTCTAAACTATTTTAATGTATGGAATGCTGAAGTACAGCCCAATTTGAGGATAAAAGTATTTGACTGTGCCAAAACTTGATATTAAAATAGCAGCCAATGCCTAATTCTGATCACTTCAGCAAAAACTGCCAAATGAACTGTGCTAATGAAGGTCCATCATAAACATAACTATAAATTGGAGGGAGATTTTTATTAGTCTCACAACCTTTAGTGCTGCTGCCAATAACCCTTAGACACATGAAAAATACAGTATATGTAAACTTTCTTATCAACAAAACCTTATTCCTGAATAATATTCTCATCTTTACAACAACTTATCCTCTTATCACGAATCTATTACAAATGTTACCAGTTAATGGAGCCAAGCAATAACCTCTTTCTCCAAAAAGCTATTTTTTTGGTGAAACATCTAAAGAGAATTTCTTAAATTCTTTTCAAAGAGCTTAATTCATCAACAGAAATAGTTATGATCATAAGTATTCTGTCTTGGAAATCACCAGAGCTTGACAAGACCAACAAAATGTAAAAAATCTACACTTTTTCTCCAATAAAAAGCCAAATTCTGGTGGTAGGCTATTCGTATAATGCAAGTCCCAATTTTTCCCATTTATTTTATGGACATGGTAACAACGAAGTTGTTTTGGCCAATTATTTAACGTTATTCTATTGTCATTCTTGGTCTTCATTTGCGTCTGCGTGTCTGCTGGTCCACTTCTGGCAGCTCGCTCACATCCTCCTCCGAGCTACGTTTTGCTGAAACACCAACATGTCCTGCTTACATTAGCAACCTTTGTCTACCAATCAATATTTCCAAAGGAGTACATTATGTACAATTACCTACAAATATTTTACAATTCATTCACACCACAGAATAAAGTAGAAATGTTCAACAATATTATGCACAACATTTATGTTGCACGAAAGTAATTTCATCAACTTACAGTCATCTTTCCTTCCCTTCTTTGTCTTTCGCTCGGCAGCCTTCTTGCGTGCTGCAAGGGCCTCGGCCTGACGTTCCCTCATTCTCCGAAGATGAAAGTGGATGAAGTTCCACATCATCCAAGCCTGAATCAAGCACACTGCTACTAGGGCATTTAACCTAGAAAGAAACATTAAATATCAGATAGTTTGACTTTAAAAAAATATTTAATTTACAATACAGCTGTACATGTACTGTATTGTATTGTACCACAAGAATAGAACACTAACAATGTGTAATACAATAATACAAGTACCAGTACTGTACATTATTAAATGCATGCACATGCAAGCCGATGCATATTGCCTAAAACAATTTAATTACCTGATAAATGGTGTGTTGAAGTTCCCAGTTTTAGTGTCTAGTGACTGATCATCATTTGTTGCCAAACCATAATGGAAAGTTAATATTGCCACTATGATGCTGGCCAGTCGACAGACAACAAATATTACATTCCACACACGGAAACCTGCAATTTAAAAACCCTAATTAAATATTATAATTCGGCACAAGCCAAGACTGAACCAAGAAAACTATTAATACCAAATTCAGTAATTAATATAGACGTTTGCTATGAATAGAATGCCTATACAGTATTGTACTCCTAAAAAACGCAGGGACCTAACATAACTCCTTACCACATTTATCGTACAGTTCAAAACCAAGGAAAAAATATAAATAACCTGTATTTGCAGCTGCATTTTTCTCAGCAAAGTAAAGGAGTCTGCAGACATGAAGGATTCCCTCTTCCACAAATCTTAAAGTCAGCAATACAAGTGCCACACGATTGAAGCTGAAATACAAAAGCAATATTTTAATGGAAACAAAATTCAGCCTTTAATTATAAAAAAAACTTCTTGGCACAAACTTGCTGTATTCATTGTGTATAGTATGTTCCTCACCAAGTATAATTACTGTACTTCACTTACTTTAAAACGTAGGCTGCCATGCAAAACACCAAATAGAGAGAGGCATGCTGAATCTTGGCTGGCATTTCTTCACGTTTAGTCTGTATAAAGATAAGACAAAAATTAACATCAAAAGGAAAAATAATAATATTTTCAAATGTGTGCTACAGGAAGTCTGTGTTTAGGATTATCAAGGCCCCCCCCCCCCCACAAAAAAAAGTCTTTTCCTAGGTAAATGGTTCCCAACCATGGCTACATGAACCCCAAGGGGTTATTGAAGAATTTCAACAAGGCCATTAGACAAATACTATGCATTGTATTGTACTCTTTAAAATAAAACCCACTTAATGAGCGAGTTGAGCCAAATGTCTTCCGTTATCATTTACATGTAGCAGTAACTGAAAATAACAATGAAAGGCTCGAGATACAAATTTATGTACCAATTACAGTAATAGCTACTGGTAATTTTGCAAGCTCGATCTATTTTGTTGTAGGAGTCCTCGGGTGAAAACATAATTGAAAAAGTTTAAAAAAAAAAGTCAAAGTTTGGAACCACTGCCTTAGGCCAATGACTGACCTTCCCCAGGATGTTACCCTCCCATACCCCTACCCCAATTGCCTAACTCCTGGATACCTATTTACTGCTGGACAAAAAGACATCAGGCGAGAGAAAATGTGCCCTACTATCTGTCCTCGTGTGGGACTAACTTGGGACCCTCGGTTGAGCCAACAACTACAGTAACATACAAACAAATGTGGCAATATATCATTCACAAATCTGCAGTTTTACAAGGAAAATTTGCTTATTTTGTAAATAATATGAGTAAAATTATATAAAGCTCAACTTGAATCGCCATAAAAAAAGTTAATCAAACCAGCATGGCAACAGTCCTGTTGCCATGAAACAGGAGACTTGTCAAGTACTACCTAGACAAGAATGTAAGTAGTTGTATTATTCATCTCTTGTCCTTTAATCCTAAGCAACCATTACAGTACATTCTTTTTAATACATCAAGTGCCAAATTCTGTGCTGTGTGCATTTGCCTTTTTTGGGGTGGGGTGGGGGGGGAAGTACTGTACTGTGTTTAGCCCATTAGAGTTACTACAATGGCAAAGGCCGAGGTGCTACAATGCCAATGCCCAATATCAATTATAGCTAAAATTATTTTATTTATATGATTGTGTTCTAAGACAAGTAAATATGATTAAGTCAAGATATTAAACCAACAAACCTTACAAAAATTAAAAACAAAAACTAAGGTAACCGCTGGGTTACACTGCTCAATTTCAATTAAAAAAAATATCACTAGTGTGGTTTTCAAGTCAAAACAAGGCAGCCTCATGCTACCCCACAGAGGAGGGGAGAACAATACATTGTTGCACGTTCACAGTCTGGCAAGGCATTTGATACAAATGTGAACGAAAATTAAAATAGCCACTAGCTGCCATTAGACATTCCACCGGTATAGAAGCCAAGCTGGAAAAATAAAATGCAAAATCATATCAAACAGGAATTTATACATCAAAATTACCTTCTGGAAGTAGAGCTCTGGGTAACAGTGAAGCCAATAAGACATCTGTATTATGAAGAAGAATTTCAGCATGAAAGACATCTGCGCATGACCGTCGGGATAGTCTGCCCACAGTGAAGTTATGTCCACCATTAGGTTATCCCTAGAAATATTAAGTACACTATAATGCACAGGCCCAAACTGCACTGTATTTTTAAGTATTAGAGCAAACAGCATATCCATAAATTTTAACACATTTATAATGAGATTCATAATTGAAGACAAGTTTAAAGAAGGAAAACCTGGATCGTTGGTTCATTATGAAATTTCCATCAAATCTGATTTCATGTTTCTGCTAATTTGGCTTTTATATTTGTAATTAATCAAAATAATGCATTTAGATTTCACTATTTTACAAAGATTGTATTGTAAATTGTATAAGCAAGTTCCCCCCCCACCTCCCCCTAGACATATTGAGACCTATTTTGAGGGTATGCATAACACTGTTTTCTGTGAGCGCCTGAGTGCGGCCAGACTTCCCGTTACCTAATAATGCTTATTGGATTTTCTTCCATACATCATTTCTGAGGCTTAGCCACGTAGTATGGTGAAAGTACAACTACATCACACAAGGGTAAGAGGGACATCTTTATCATGGTTAATCAAAGTTATTAGAAAAAGATGACAGAGGAAGGCAGCTGGCAGTGGAATATGACATTGATAATGCCATTTGATAAAAGCAGCTGTAGTATATTTAGTTAGTAAAATGAAATATAAACCAACAATGAAAAAGTTACATAAATGCACTGAAACTTAAGCATGGCTAATGGTGCACCCAAATCTGTACTTGAAAGACTGGTATAAAACAAGGCCAATTTAGGGTGATGGCAGAGGTTTAACAGACATGACATGCTTAAGACATGATTTGGCTCTGAAGGTGCAAAGTGCATATGGTTCCCGAGGCAGTTCTAGTACTTGCCACACTTCCTGTAAAATAGATTACTGCAATTGGCAGTCAAACCAGCAATGTGGTACTCTTCCACATTCACACAAAGAAATCTATTATAATATTTATTAGAGTACATTTACTTTAAGTGTAAGCCATCAGTGTCCGCGGGAAGCGAGCTCTGTATTAGGTTTCACCAAATAATTGGTACTACATGCATTTAAATGCAAGAAAATCAGCTACATTATACTGTATAAAGTATTATGACAAATGAGGATTGTCTCATTTTGTTGAACTACTGAACTACAAACAAATCCCCAAGAGAATAGATACAGTACTTACTTAACGAGGATATTAATGCCCCAAGCAGCAGATACAGCAGTAAAAATTAGGAGTTGCCCAGATTCATTAAACTTGCTGTGCTTAGTCTTGCTCAGGTGCAATTTACGATTAACTTTCTGAAATAAAAATTAAACATTACAATTTGTAAAAATCAATATTAAAAGTGCTAAGTAATGGGCAGTAAAGAAAATAATAAAATTTTACTGCCTACATTAAATTTAATTCTTTATTTAATCTGAATAATTGCCTGGGCATGTGACATTGACATACAACACATGCAAAACCTTTGAAAACAAAGAAAAACTGCCATTTTGAAATCCCTTAAAAGATAAAGCTTTACTTTGGACCTTCCATTAACCTCTCATTCCTTTGTGCAATCATGCAGCATTTCTGTTTTGGTCTCATTCTTTCCTTGAATCAAAATAGGGATAATTTTTTTTATCTCCATTGACACCATTTTAGTTTATTTCAAGCAAAACAGAAAGGGGGGAATAGAAGCTACTAAATGTAGTGAAATGGCCTTTCTCTGGAAACCCCCAGTGGCTCCCCCAATATTAGCTCTGATATCACAAAGCCTCAGGTAATCACCTTAGGACTGGAAGACCAATCCTTGCTTACCAAAATTCTGGACCGTAATTTGGCTCACTGTGCAAAGTAAGAGGAGTGAAAATCCGAGCACAACCCAAAATTTAGACTAGAAAAATACCAGAATGCTTAGGCTGAACAAAACTATCAGCTGTTTGAAGGAAATTAGACACCAAACTAATCAAGGCAAATTATCGTTGCTGCAGGGATAAATCAAATCCCCAGAGGGAGAGGGGGGGCTTGTCCCTAATGCTGTCTCTGCCAGCCTTGCAACCATCAGCACCCTTGCACTTCTGTAAATGCTATTTAACAACTACCTCATGAACAAATGGTCATCCAAAATTTGTCCAAATCTAATTTTTTTTTTTTTTTTTTTTTTTTTTTGGGGTCAGGCTCACCTTGATGTACAGTGTACTTTAAATGGCAAGCAGTCCAAGGGGTTAAAAGCTGGAACTGATGAGGAAACCAAAACAGCGAACAAATGCTAGCCAAACTGGCCATCAACCCTACCCGAGGTAAAATCAACATAGGAAGCCAGTGGCAACGCTGCAGAAGTGTCAAAAGACCAGATGGGCAGAAACCTTGTTAAACTGCAGGAAATTGGCATCTACACCACACACCGTTTACAGTGCATGGGTAGATGCCATGCATCAAAGTGCCACAACCTGAAATGTAACTCTGCCCAACATAAATCCATGTGTAAAACAGCCCATACCCATAGGAAAAAGCACAGATTTATGCACAATCACTACAGATTTTCCTTTAATGTTAAAAACGTGTGGATATTTAGGTCTATTGTATTTAAAAAAAAATTACACCACAATCCTTCAAAATTCTTAAGGACTTTCTTTGAGCGCTAGAGTTTTGAGGCTCCACTGTACGTTATTTGGCATCCGGTTTTAATCCTAGCACTGTTGAATAATCTGATGGGACAAATCTTAAAATATTACGGGTTCACCATAGCCCGTGCTGCTTGGAACTTTGTTCCAGGTAGCGAATCTTTAACAACAACTTAAAATATGGAAAGACTATATAAATGGAAATAATATTTCAAATACACTGTACTGTACTCTCCTACAACACGCACACATACTGTATATAGAATTACATGTAAATTAAATTCTCTTATTTCATATTAGTCCCAAAAAATGTTGATTAAAATTCGCCCATTAAATTTGTTTAAGATTGAGGGAACACTAAATACAGTACTGTACTGTATAGTCTTGAACTGTATTATTTATATATTCTAAGATGTAATGATGCCATATGCTCCAAGATTCTCCTAATTAATGACAAGAATTTTCTCATTAGATAAATATGGTACATTAAATCTTGTACTGTACAACTGTAAGCAGAACTATTTTCTAGAATTCCTAGTAAGATGTCATACAACAATGTGCAGTTTGAGCCTGTGTACTCTCATACATTGCACAAGTTTCAGGCTAAAGGTTAGCCCTAATTGATGAAACAATACTGCATATATGTACAGTGCATGTCAGTGTAACCACCAATCCACAATACTATGGTCATTTTAACTAGATGTATTTTGATCACACAAGTAATTGAGACGGGTATCACAGGGCAGGCATATTCAGTATACACAGTGTTGCATAGGGATTGATTACCATGAAGAATGGATTTACACAACTTACATCAAGAACATACTCCTGTATGATAGCATGCATTACTATGGATATGAGGCAGTAAAAAAACACTGCTGCTGTATCCCTAGTGCCATAGGTGTAAGTCATGGGAGCTTCGGCAGTTTCCATATCTGATGCATTGTGCTGCACTGCAATGAACACTGATGCCAGAGGTGCTGTAGCCTGCGGGAAAATTAGTATACTTTGGTTAAACTGGCAAGATTTTTGTGTACCTATTACATGTATCTAAAAAAATATATATATTTCAGACCAAATTTGTACATTTGGTATATCCCCATACCCATCATATGGGGAGTGGACGCAAAAGTCTCAATGAAGTTAACAAAAATTCCTCATTTGGCCCTTAGCTGTTATTACTCCTTGCATATAATTAGCACTTAATTCATTTCCTTACTATCAAGGAACACTCCTAAAACAAACCTGGATTGCATATGTTAAGAGACTAATACTGTATTCAAGGGTGTCCAGACAGTCACCAAGTAGCACAATGTGTGACAGCTTTCTTTTTGGGAACCAATGACCAACACTTTCACTTTTCCGATGACACGTTTTAGCATCATCGGTACTCAGACAGTAAATGTTCCAATGATGCCAAAATGAGTCCGCCAGATTTCTATTCATGAACTTTCATATATATTTACTGCTGTTATGTGTAATGCATTAAAATCTTGTTTTCCATCTATTCTCTAAAGAAATTATTCGCAATTTTGACATCAGATTTATAGTTATAATCCAAAAAGAAGCAAGAAAATGCAAAATGACTACTGTATAAACATTTTATGCACCACTATGTGGGACCCACCGAGTGTACTAGGTTTACAATTAATGTATGGAGATCTATTATAAATGCACCTTTGGTTTTGCATCTATAGAGAATTCATTTGTGAGCATTTTGACACCAAATTTATTCATAACCCAACAAATAAGTTGGAGAATGTTAAGTGATTGTAGACAATTTTCACATGTGGCACATGAGCTGCCAAGGGCACCAAAAAAGCTTACAGTTCGGAATGCATGGAGAGATTGGACCCAAGTGTCGAGATCTGACACTGATATGGAATGAAAGTTATGTAGGGCATGCAATGATATTTAATTTAGTATCTAGATCAGAAACTAGGTAGATTTCAGATCATACTCTGGACACTCTTTATTAGCGATTATTCGCACTTTCCAACCATAGTGTCATTCTGCAGTTTAAAAACCACACACCTGCTTATAAAAACATAAAATTCAGTCTCATTAAAAAATAAAAAAGGAACAAGGTAAAAATTAATAACATTCTTATTTAGGCTGTGATTTATATGTCCAGCTATGATCAGCCACATCCAACAGTCTTGTTGACCAGAAAACCAGCCAAGAGGCCTTGTCAGAGATTGGGTCGTGGGGATTTTGATCTCGGAATCGCTTTTCTGTAAGATTCCTTTCAGTTCTTAATCAGTTTTTGAACTATTAACTTTTGAACTATAAATTTTTGAACTTTTGAACTTTGTCTCCTGATAGTTCCCTTCCCTTCCATGCAAAAGCACTGGCACTAAGCTGCTTCAGGCACCAATGTCTGGAAATGGTCATTTTACACTACAACTCAAAAAGTGTTGCCCATTTTGGAAAAATGTGCAGCTTTCCAAAATGATAGCACAATGTCACCAATCACTTATTCAGCTTATTGGTACCTGTGCTAGATGAATATGCTAATGTTACTTAAAAATAAACCCCCCTATATCCAAGATAGTTAATTATTGGCATTAAATATACCTCATGAGAACCTAACATCAGCCCAAAATAGATTAAGATAAATGAAATGGGATTACGACTAGTAGTAGGCAGTAATTGTTTCCTAACATTAGGTTAGGTTTATACATGGCAAAGACAATCCAAAGGAAATTATGAGGAGAAAGCACTAAGCAAGTAGGAGTATGGCAATTTTAAAACCTACATAACCAAACCCATTGCATCCTCACTAACAATACACAGTTTTAACAAGAGAACTTTGTCAAAACCTGCGCATAATTTTACTTTACCCAAAACAAAATGGTTCGGGACTTTGTTATCTGTTGCTGCAATAAAGCCTATATGAACTACTATTAACACTGACTTGTGCAAGATCAGGATAGAATATAGAATAGGTTTTTATTTTTTATATTTTATATACATATATATACAGGACTTCTTATATTCTTGTAAAGCCACTAGCATGCATAGCGTTTCGGGCAGGTCCTTAATCCTAATTGTCCCTAGAATACGACCCGCCAAATCGTTGGCAGCCCCCCCCCCCCATCCGGCCAACAGCCTGGTCTTGGCAGCTGTTCAATCATCCAGCCTCTGTCTGCTCTGTTCTCTGCTAATCCTCTATCCTCTCGAATGAACAGTTCCCTGGGTATTTATGGGGGGACCCTGGAGCTAGCTCCACCTACTATGTAGATAGCCTCAGGCCATCTACCTACCACACCTAGACAGCGATCTGTACGATGAAAAGACACCACCAACCGTCTGCAATTATCAGCTTAGTAGAAGCAAGGTTAATTCACACGACCTGACCCCTGGTCAACTTGTGATCATTAACACTCTAGAGGTGTGACTTTTTAATTACTACAGGCCGACAGTCTGGCGCCTCAAATCCTGTCTGCCTGACTCATGTTGTAACAAAATATAATTCAGCTAAACACCTTTATGGTGTTACAAGGGGAAGGCTCTCCCCATTATACTACTACTGTATTATGCCGCTGGCATTAAAAAACTAAAGTAGCAGCACAATGATGTTGTGAAAAGACAATGCTAAAGTGACAAGAAAAGAAATAAGGAGGCTCGTCTTACAACTACAGTACTATTAGTGCTATGACGACAGACAGCACCGCTACCAGGAGCGGCGACACTTGCCTATAACTCCCAGACAGTACAGTACTACACCATCTGCTCCCTTATTACAACATATGTTATCAAGTTAAATTTTGCTTAGGTCTCCTTAATATTTTAAATTACCTATCCAAGTTCCATAAAAAGATACACATTGAATTGACATTCACATCAGCTGGCAATTATGTCCAATGGGCTACAACTCTGGAGACAATGAAACCACTTGTAAGTTACCAGTGAACAACACACACACAACATAGTGGACACTTGTCTCGCTTAGGTCTAGGGAATAATTAATTAAATAATTAAATAAATAATTTGAATAATTAAATCATCTTTTATTCTTTTTCTTGCTATGTAACTGATCATTTTTATAAATTTTGCAAGTATTTACTTACTTAAAATTTTCTTAGAATAAGGACCTGCCCAAAATGCTGCATGTACTAGTGGCTTTACAAGAATGTAATTACTATGCTATATATCTTCACAATCCCAATGTATCTTCTTGTATATATATATAAATAACAAAATAAAATAAATAGTAATAGGCAAAGTGGAATACATTAAAACAGGGTACTGCACAGTAAAACTAAATAATTAAACTTGGGCATTTACAATTTTATTTACACAAGACCTCGAAAATAAGTTCACTTGGCTTAATATTAAAAAAATATATATATAGTTACCAATTAATTTGACGTGACACAATTCAATAGCTTATAGACCACTGACAGCTGGGCTAATTTGAGGGGTAAATAAACTAAAAATTTAAACTACCAAAACGCACCCATGCCACAAGTTAGGAAGCCAAGAGCCAGGCCCTACCACAGACACCCTTGACCGGCGTGAATTACCACGAGCCTCGAGAGTGACACTAGGAGTTTGAGGACAACCTTCCCCCCACAGCCGCCCACAACACCACTCCACTCACCTGGAACATCAACCCCAGCACAAACACCATCGCCACGCACGACACGATGTCTGCATGGTTCTGAATGATGAATTCGTGGCTGAAAATGGGTGGGTTCTTGTTAGACTTGCGGACTCCCTTGAGCGCCATGGTTAGCTCGTCCTCCGCCGCTGCTCTTCTCAGCGACTGTCAAGTTGTTTTCTCCTGCTACACGAGACACTTTTTCACTCGGGATCGCGCTTCATCTCTAACCTCAATCGCTAGAAAAATACAAAAATATGCATTAATTTGTATATTTCTGTTTTTTATAATTATTATTACTTGCATTTCATTCCATATTCATTTTTAAATTATTCTATATATTTATTTTAAAGGTGTGAATGAAAGTTTTCCCGAGTAAAAGCAGCATCCAATATCGGCCGGAAGTACGTGGCGACTAAGTATTCAATATAAAACTATTATCAAAATGAAATAAAATTATTTAAATATAACAAAAATTTAAACTAAATTGCTATATTTTCTATTTAAATAAATATATTTAATATTTTTAATTCGAGCTGTATTTTAAGAAGAAAATATTGAAGCTCTTGAGAAATTAAAGATTTAGATTTGATATCTTACCGCGAAATTCAATACATAGATATTGGCCATTATTTATTTAAAGCATATTAGATTGTTTAACATACGTGTAGAGGACCAATTTCTTATTTTATTACTAATGTATTATATGTGGTGTATACTATAACTAATCTGATAACATATAAACACATTTGAGAATATGTGTAGACTATATATATATACTGTATATGAAAAATGATCAATTCAAAGTTGTACAGCATATATTTTGTAATTAACAATTAATCTATATTTTGGTTTAAAATGAAAGGTTCGAGTGCTATTTGAATTTGTATTTAATTGATCACTTTAGATCCTTTATAACTTCAGTAATACTTTTGCGTTTTAATATATATACGTGGAATATATATATTTGAGAGGGTCCGCTGAGCACTTTCTCTAGTGGCGTGTAATACCACCAGCTGGACGACCATACTTATGTGACTACCTTTCAGCCAATAAAATTATGTTTTGTGGTTAACTAATACACTTATTTTATGGCTTTATATAATGTCAGCTATACGTGGGGAAGACGTGAAACTATATAACTGGGAAATGCGTCACCTGGAAGTACTGCCACTCACCTCTCCACACATACACAAACAGACAAATATACAAACCCACATCACAAATACTTATGCAATCATACTATATGTATACACATGCATGTAAATAAAGTCAGACAAAAGCTAACAGATCGATCCTGCAGGAACAAGTAGTAAATACACCACACTTTCACACATATGTTACAAGCACACACACACACACACACACACACTGAGGGGCGCCGGTGGCTGTGTGGACAGCACGCTGGTCACGTAATCCTGTGGCCTGGGTTCGATTCCCGGCGCTGGCGAGAAACAATGGACAGAGTTTCTTTCATCCTGATGCCTCTGTTACCTAGCAATAAATAGGTACCTGGGAGTTGGACAGCTGTTACGGGCTGCTTCCTGTGTGTGTGTGTGTGTGTGTGTGTACTCACCTATTTGTGCTTGAGGGGGTTGAGCTTTGGCTCTTTGGTCCCGCCTCCCAACCGTCAATCAACTGGTGTACAGATTCCTGGACCTACTGCATGGGCTCTATCATATCTACATTTAAAACTGTGTATGGAGTCAGCCTCCACCACATCACTGCCTAATGCATTCCATCCGTTAACTACTCTGACACTGAAAAAGTTCTTTCTAACGTCCCTGTGGCTCATATGTGGGTACTCAAGTTTCAACCTGTGTCCCCTTGTTCGCGTACCATGTTGTTGTTGTTATAGATTCAGCTACTCGAAACAAGTTCCAAGTAGCACGGGCTATGATGAGCCCGTAACTTACCTGGCACAGGAGCGGGGCAAGTAGCACGGGCTATGGTGATCGAGCCCGTAGTGGACTTACCTGGCACAGGAGCTGAGTTCGCGTACCACCAGGGTGGAATAATTTATCCTTGTCTACCCTGTCAATTCCCCTAAGGATTTTGTAGGTAGTGATCATGTCTTCCCTTACTCGTCTGTCTTCCAGTGTCGTAAGGCGCATTTCCCGCAGCTTTTCCTCGTAACTCATGCCTCTTAGTTCTGGGACTAGTCTAGTGGCATACCTCTGAACTTTTTCCAGCTTCGTCTTGTGCTTGACAAGGTGTGTGTGTGTGAAATTTTTTTTAGTAACAGTTGATTGACAGTTGAGAGGCGGGCCTCAACCTCCCGCAAGCACAACTAGGTGAATACAATTAGGCGAATACAACTAGGTGAATACACACACACACACTGGGTATGTGACCTCGCGGCTGAGTGGACAGCGCTCTGGAGACAGTCTTAAGGGCCTAGGTTCGATCCCTGGCAGAGGCAAAAACAAATGGGCAGAGTTTCTTTCACCCTGATGCCTCTGTTACCTAGCATTAAATAGGTACCTGGGAGTTAGACAGCTGCTGCGGGCTGCTTCCTAGGAATGTGCGTGTACTCACCCTAATTGTACTCACCTAATTTTGCTTGCAGGGACTGAGCTTCGGCTCTTTGGTCCCGCCTCTCAACTATCAATCAACTGATGTATTAGGCTCTATCATATCTACACTTCAAACTGTGTATGGAGTCAGCCACAATTAATAATGCAATCCACTAATGCATTCTATATACTAACTACTCTGACAATAAAAAAAATGTTTAGTGTCTCTATGACTCATCTGTTCACTAAATTTCCACTTGTGTATTCTAGTGCGTGTGACCCTTGTGTTAAATAAACTGTCATTATCTACCCTATCAATTCCTTTGAGAATCTTGTATGTGGTGATCATGTCCCCCCCCCTAAATCTTCTGTCTTCCAGCGGCGTGAGATTTAATCCCTCATGTCTCTCCTCGTAGTTCATGCCCCTCAGTTCGGGCACTTATGCGCAATTATATATGGACTTCATACTGGAGCTGCACACTCTAGGACTGGTCTGACATAAGTGGTATACAAAGTTCTGAATGATTCCTGTGTGTGTGTGTATATGTGTGTTAGAGAAATATATGTAGTAGACATAACAGAGGAATTAAGTAATTATCAAAAGAAGGCACCAAGCCCGGAAGGCTATGTAGTATAATAGAGGAAAAATAAATTGATTAGAAAGCCGGGGTCCAAGAGCTAATAGCTCGATTCTGCAGACAAAAATAGTAAATACACATACACACAAAGCACTTGTTGATCACTGGTGTTTTGAGGGATACAAATTTCTTCGTCTCAATTGCGTTTCTCACCTTCCACCTATGCAACCCGTTCTCGCAAATTTAATAAGTCAATATTGACTTATTAAATATGTGCATAGGTGACATACTTAACATAATAGATACCCTTAAAAAGATTCATAGAAAACACCGACCTTACCATAACCTATTTGTCCTATTATTCTAACTTCTTTCAATTTAGAGAGCCTGCTCTTGTTTTTCCCCCTTCGTATCTTGTACGTAGTGACCATTTTTTCCTATGAGCCTTCTCTTCTCTAAGGTTGTAAGTTAGGGCTCCATTAACTTGTTCTGAGTCAATGTCTCCTATATAGTCTGATTATCGTCTGTACCTACTGCCCGTTTTTATAAACAAAGGCCAAAGTCCATTCCATACAGCCGCCAAACCCCCTGTTTATGAATGAAAAACGGTTTACACACGACTCACAACTGATGACGTTCGAACATTTCCGGAACAAGTGCTTCGCTCACGACTTTTGTTCGAACCACAACGGTATAAATCAGCCCGTCCTCCAAACAAAGATCCAAAAGTGATTCCATGCACCCGCCAAACCCCCTGTTTATGAATGAAAAGCAGTTTACACACGACTCACAACTGCTGACGTTCGAACATATCCGGAACAAGTGTTTCACTGACGAATTTTGTTCGAATCACAACGCTATAAATGCTTCACCCACATACTACAAATACAAATAATTGCCAACAGAACCTAAATACCTAACCTAACCTATACCTAATGAACAGCATGTAAAAAATTATGAATGCGTCTGTGGGGTCGACCGCTGGATGGAATGGACTTGCGTCGAGGACGAGTTGTATTATTATTATTAAAAAGTGTAGAGTGGGAATGTACATGTGTAGGTTATGTCAGCGGGTGGGTGGGGCAGTGCGTATAATTATGTTTAATTTAAGGGATCCTGTACATCAATTGCATTGTTTCTGGCAGTATGGGTTCGAGTCACTTCTGGGGTGTGAGTTTTCAGTGGCATATATGCCTGGAGACCGTTCAGGCTTGTTCGCAATTATGTTTAAGTGGATGGAAGTGTGTGGGTGGATATGCAGGTATGTGGCGGGTTATTCCTGGGATTAGTGTGTAGTGGTGAGTGTGGTGTGGTGAGTGTTTAGTGTGGCGAAGGTGGAGTGTGGTGAGTGTAAGTAATTATCAAAAGAAGGCACCAAGCCGGGAAGGCTATGTGGTGAATGTTGAGTGTGCATGGTGAGTGTGGAGAGAGGTGCCTCCCTGGGCGCAGTGTGCGTGTGTGTGTAATTACCTAAGTGTAATTACCTAAGTGTAGTTACAGGATGAGAGCTACGCTCGTGGTGTCCCGTCTTCCCAGCACTCTTTGTCATATAACGCTTTGAAACTACTGACGGTCTTGGCCTCCACCACCTTCTCACTTAACTTGTTCCAACCGTCTACCACTCTATTTGCGAAGGTGAATTTTCTTATATTTCTTCGGCATCTGTGTTTAGCTAGTTTAAATCTATGGCCTCTTGTTCTTGAAGTTCCAGGTCTCAGGAAGTCTTCCCTGTCGATTTTATCAATTCCTGTTACTATTTTGTACGTAGTGATCATATCACCTCTTTTTCTTCTGTCTTCTAGTTTTGGCATATTTAATGCTTCTAACCTCTCCTCGTAGCTCTTGCCCTTCAGTTCTGGGAGCCACTTAGTAGCATGTCTTTGCACCTTTTCCAGTTTGTTGATGTGCTTCTTAAGATATGGGCACCACACAACAGCTGCATATTCTAGCTTTGGCCTAACAAACGTCATGAACAACTTCTTTAGTATTTCGCCATCCATGTATTTAAATGCAATTCTGAAGTTAGAAAGCATTGTGTGTGTGTGTGTGTGTGTGTGTGTGTGTGTGTGTGTGAGGGGGAGGCATGGTGTTGTGCATGAGGGCAGG